GGGGGAGGGAGTTTGAGGTGTGGAATGGAGTGAAGTCCAATCAGCTTCCATATGCAAATGACCTTGAAACGCTGGCCCAATCAGAGAAGAGTGGGCTGAAGCGGCCCAGCCGTAGAAGCCCCGTCCCTGTGCTCAGTCTGCAGATGGTCCTCTCCTGTCAGAGGCCCAGAGCAGACTGAGCTGAACATTCTGGCCGGGGCTGACAGGCAACCCAGCCAGCATCTTCTGACTGACAGTTCAAGCCTCCAAACACTGTTGGTGTGAATTGAAACGTTGGGCCCCACTACGGCTTTATATATAAGGGAGAGATGATAAATACTCATACACATTTAGAATGTTCAGTGTTATATCAGAGGGAAGGAGAGGGACAGGTGCACTTGACCACATATCCAACAGGGCTATTTTTCTGGGGGAATGCACCAGAATGGAGTTCCGGAACTTCTTCGACAAAATTCTTTTAAAAATGTTTAAAAGTTCATGAGTTTTCAGTATACAGGTTGAAAACTTCCTATCCCTCTTGAGAGTTCTGGCACCTCTTTTTTTTTTCTTTTTTTTTAAAAAAAGCCCTGAATGTGACAGCACAGTTTGAAAGGCAGGTGAGGTAAATGTGCCACTCACCTTGTTCTTGTACCACTGTTCAGCCTCATCCCGGCTTTTAGCCGCCATGACCTGGTATTGTGCCTTCACTTCATCAATAACATGCTTCATCTCCAACTGCCGGTTGTTGTCCATCTCCACAGTTACCATCGTGTTTTGTATCTGAGACTGTAATTCCCGGATTTCCTGGAAGGAAGGGAATAACCATTTTATATTTGAATCTAGGACTAGCTCTAACAGCAAAATTGAAGACAGAGCAGGTTATTCCAAATACTGACTCAGCCAGTTCTCTCCTCAGTGCTCTTCTTGAGTTGGAGCACCTACTCAGAGCTGGAACTGAGGGACAAAAATCCTTCTCTGTTCCTCCTTCCTCACTGACTTCCACCATCAATAGCAAACCCATTGAGCATCCTTCCTCAATTTGCCACTCACCTCATCACACAGCTGCTTCAGGTACTTGATTTCATTGGAGATGCTCTCAAGTTTGGACTCAACATCCACTTTCTGCAAGTAGATATCATCCAGGTCCTGAAAATGCAAGTGAGAAGTAATCAGCAAGCCTCATGCTGTGGCCAGAACCAGATTTCTGTCAGTGACTGTCAAATATTTTAAATGCTGAGACTGAACTGTTGAGATTTCTAGTTCATTGAGCGGATGCATCTAGTTTGCAAAACCCAAATGACAGGCATCCATGGCCTGTGGTGATCCTCCAGGAACCTGTGCCTTGGTGTTATCTTGGGGCCACTATAGTAAGAACAATCCACACAAAAGGAGAACGCGCAAACTGTGCAACACAGCTTCTTTTTTTTTGGGGGGGGGTGTTTCATCCAGTTTTCTTTGTGTGCTTCCCTAACAATGCTATTCTATACACAATTACTCAGTGGATTTAGACCAGAGTAACTCTACATAGGATTACACTGTAAGAATCCCAAACTAACATGCCATATGCCCAGGGGTTATTTCCTGCGGGAACGCACAGGAGCGGAGCTCTGGCAGTAAGGAGGCCAGGGGGTAGGCACATGCAACAAGACCCGTCCCCTGCTCCCAGCAGCCCTCAGTCAGGCCATGAGGAGCAAGAAGCAACCAGGTAAGTTGCAGAGCCCCCCCCCCCGCCGCCTTCAGATACAAGCTCTCTCTCCTCTGTGAGGGCAGATCTACGCGTTCCCCCCCATAGCTAGCAACCTACAACAGTCCAGTGGAGCCTGAGCGGTGGGTGTTGCCTTCTGACACACTTCTGGTGATGTCAGGGGGCGTGGCATATGCAAATAAATTATGCTAATAAGTTATGCTAATGAGATCCTGCACCTCTTTTTCTACGAGATGACCCCTGCATATGCCCCTCCTGGAGTGCACAGACCACCTCTGTGCCACAAATGAGCAACTTGAGAATCTAGGCCTTCACTTTTTGAAATCAAGTTGGTCCCTGCCACACGGGGGTGGGGGGGAATGCGCAGCCAAAGTACAGCTTTTGGAAGCTGCACCAAAATAGACACGCCACGGCGGGATCCCATGTATCCCCTGAGCCACGGGGCCGTTGCTCCGGAAGCCACGGTCTGGAGACCGATTCAGCCGGCTGCACGTGCATCCACAGTTCGGCCAGGAGCCGGGGATGCGCCGGCAGAAGGCCGCACCGGCGATCCCACGGCCAGGCTTTGATGCGGCATGCTGGAAAAACCACCTCCGTAGGTGGTTTATTTTTCCTGTGGCTTTTCGGGTGAAGGGCCGGATCGGGGACGGGTGCGCAACGCTTCCCAGATGTTGCGGTGGGATCGCGCCCGTTTGCTGCGCCCCCGGTCCGTCCCTCTCCCGGCCCAAAACTGTTCGTGTGACCGGGGCCATAGTACCCTTATGATAACGCTCTTCAGTCCTGCATAAGCATGTCCGTCTGTATTCCCTCTAGGTGGGTGAAGGCAGGAAATGCACAACTGATGCAAACACCACTCACCTTAGCTAAGCTAACCCTGACCTTAACCTAGACTGTATGCAGTATGAACCTTTGCTTTTCAGAGGTGGAGCCACACAGAGTCTTGAGAAAAGAACACTAAGCAGCCTGCAGCAGATCTCCCCTCTGTTCCAAAGAGGGGCAGTAAATAACACAGGGACTTCTGTCTGACCATCAGATGTGGGCAGGCACAGAAGAGGGAGAAAGTAAGTACGCGTATCTGAGGTTGGTGAAGGAAGAGAAGGCTGGGAAGCAGTTTCAACCTTGATAACAGCCAGCATGACCTTTGAACAAGGGGCTTTGTGGATTCTGCAGCAGCAAATAGCACTGGACTGGTAACTAGGGAACCCCGCCCTACCGAATCTTTTAGGAATAAGCGACTGCTCTGTTCACATTAGGAACCCACCTTCTTGGTCACTACAAATTCATTCTCCAGTTGATTCCGCCGGTTGATCTCATCTTCATACCTATAGGTCAAGAGCAGAGATGCTGACTATGATGTGCAGGAGGGAGAATTGCGCAGACAACATAATTAGCAAGTTGGGTGATTAATGCTAAAGTCAGTGTGCTATTTTACCAGTTCCTTCCTCTCCAGTTTCCCCTTCCAGCCTCCATAGTTTGTCCTTTAAGCATTTGCCTGTCATGTCCTCTTACACATCTCGATTTGTGATCTCTAGGCAGCCAAGTAATGCTGGTCAGCGTTGCCCATTCCTGACTGTGCTACTTTCCTGTCTTCGAAATACCGGAAGGGTTCCAGTTAGGATAGGCCTAGGAACTACCTCGTCTTGATTACAGTCAGGGGTCATTTCCTGCAGGAGCGCACAGGAGCGGAGCTCCAGTCAGCGTTGACTATTCCTGACTGTGCTACTTTCCTGTCTTCGAAATACCGGAAGGGTTCCAGTTAGGATAGGCCTAGGAACTACCTCGTCTTGATTACAGTCAGGGGTCATTTCCTGCAGGAGCGCACAGGAGCGGAGCTCCAGCAGTAAAGAGCCCAGGGGGCGGGCACATGCAACAAGCCCCACCCCCTGCTCCCAGCAGCCCTCAGGCAGAGCAAGAAGCAGCCAGGTAAGTTTTTTGGGGGCACCCTCCCGGCCCTCTGGCCCAAAACAGTCCAGTGGCACCTTTAAGACCAAGTTTTATTCAGGTACAAGCTCTCCCTCCTCTGCGAGGGACAGATCTGCACTGCACGTCCCGTCCCCCCCAATAGCTAGCAATCCACAACAGTCCAGTGGAGCCTGAGTGGTGGGTATTGCCTTCTGATACACTTCCAGTGACATCAGGGGGTGTGGCCTATGCAAATAAGTTATGCTAATGAGTTGTGCTAATGAGCTCCTGCACCTCTTTTTCTACGAAATGACCCCTGATGACAGTCACGGAAGAACTAGAAACCAGCTACAAACAGGAGGAAAGGGATACCATATGCCTTTCTCCTCAGTAGAATGGCTTGTTGAGGCAGCTAGAAAATCACCTGTATGATGTGCAGCCAGACCT